AACAGAGTTCACTCAAATAGAATACTAAAGCTGGGCTCTTCCCACTTTACCACACTGGATAGCTAGAGTATGAAGTGGACATTTTGGATATGAACAGAATATGGGTTAAGGAAAAAGCAAGCTTTGCAGCATAGAACTTCTGCCTAGAAGGTGCTTGAATCTAAACTTTGAGGCTGTCTTAGGGAGCTGAACAGCAAGGCCTTTGCTTCTAGGGAGCAGAAAGTGTGGGATATAATCACAGCTAGAAGATGATGATAATAACAGATTGAACTCAACACTGGAAGTGGTTTGGAAGGCAACTTTCCTCTGATCAAGTCAGAGTGCTCTTTATATGAGATTACCTCTGTTGTTGAATCTTTAATTCTAAATGCTGTGTTAGATTGTGATATTGCCACTAACAAGTGCTGTAGTATGGATATGGTTTGAGTTTGTCTCTCAAGGGTTCATATATTTAGAGCTTGGTCCTCAGTGTGCAAATATTAAGAGGTAGGACCCTAGGGTCATTGAGAGAATGCCCTCAGAAGAAAATTCCTTTTTATGAGAATACTGAATCATTCTTCAGCTTTGTGTACAGTGACATAATTCTTCCTTCTTGTATACACTCTCATCATTGTGGTGCCATTCTCCACGAGGTCCTCACCAGAGTCAACCATAGTACCATACCTGTGAACTTCTAAGTCTGTGAGCTAAATAAATCTTTTTAAAATTTGTTTTTATTTATTTATTTTTATTTTATGTGTATGCGTGTTTTGCCAAACTGGAACTGGAGTTATGGACAGTTGGTAGCTGCCACTGGGGTGCTGGAAACCAAACCCATGTCCTCTGCAAGAACAACCAGTACTCTTAAGCACTGATCCATCTCTCCAGCTCTCTAAATAAATCTCTTTTTCTTTGGCATTTCATTTGTTAGCCTTTGCCTTTAAGGGCTGTTCTAGCTCTCTAATCCTAACTCTTTTCTTTACAGTTTTCCAGCCTCTAGTATTGTGAAGGAAAGTTAGACCATTATAATTATCCAAAGAAGATGACATATATCATCAGTGAAAATAAGGATAGGGGCTTGTGACTCTAAAGTCCTTCAAGAAGAAAAATACTATGCTTCAATTATGTGGCAACAATAGATACAGCCCATGGAATAAACTCTGTTTCTCATATTCAGGATGCTCTTAGACTAGATGTCTAAAAGCTATTCTCCTGTAACAACTATGGACCTGCTGTTTTACAGGTGATAATGAATGGTACAATATTAATACCACTCCTAAGGTATCAAGATAGAGGTTTAAGAATGTGGATAAGGCTTTAGTCAGACAGCTATATATGAAGGCCTACAGACAAGTGATCACATTTTTTTCTAACATTTTTCATCAGAGTATTAGAGGATTTCTATTTCCTGAGTCAAAACACATGAGAGTTATTTTTGTCCTTAGCACCTTTTATTGAAGTGTGGCCCTTGATGACAATATGGCAAGCATATCAACGTCAGCCAGGAGGGGATGATTGGTGGAGGACACAACTACAGTAACAACAAGATTCAGAAAAATAATAGCATTGCATGGACAACTTTCCACAAACACTGATTCTTTACCTATACAAACTGCCCCATATCCCACCCCCTCTAAGGGTCTAATCTTCAAATAATACAATATGCTACCCCAGAAATATTATTAGTATAAGCAACTCCTCTGGCAGAGACCAGTAGTTGCCAAGCTCTGCATGGCTGGAAGTGACCAGAAGTACACCCAACTTCCTCCATCTGGGGCTTGCTATTGGCAGAGCACCTTAGGGAGGCTGGAGTTCAGGATATGGTTCTGGTGCTCCTTGACCAGGTTTTTGGCATGTGAGGTTAAATGGAAAACAAATATAAACCCGATCTTGCAAGACGCTTCCTCTCTTTTTACCCTTTTTCCTTTCCTATGCATCCAACCTCTCTCTTTCTAGGGCTTTAATTTCCCTGTATCTGACTCATTCCCTTAGATTCCACTTGAGCATTTACTTCTATATCTTGGCTAAGTCTTCAGTGGTGGGACTCAAGGAGATTCAATTACCTAGAGCCCTGGGGCTGGGGGAAGAGTGGATATATGGTAGTAATCTGCTGACCCACTTCTATTCATCACTGTGCTTACCTATTATTCAATGGGGCTTATGTAAATATTTGAAGGGAATGAGTGGAAGTCCGGCAACTGCTTTTAGGAAAATCTTTGGCCTGGTTTCCACTCTGAGGGACCTTGTGGAAGGGCTGAGCCCATCAACTAAGACCAGATAGAAATATTCTATCTCAAGCAATACTGGAAGCTTTGAAGCAATATCACTCCCAGTGGGACTACCACAGCAAGAGTATAGCATGGCAGTGTCAGATTAGTAACTCATTTTTGTCTATTGAGCTTTGCTACTCAGTATGGGTTTGAGGCTATCTTTCACTTTAGAAATTGGGCATCCTTCTATTCTGAATCTAATCCTAGAAACTACTTTGAGGTGGACGAATAACAAAAATGAGAATTAGGGTTGGGACTGTAGCTCAGTAATACAGCACTTGCCCAGTATGCGCGAGGCCCCAGGTTCCAGCCCCAGCAATGCCAATACAATAAACAAACAAAAACCAGAGTTAATAGTATTTTTGGTACCATTAACTTAAGGTTAATGAGCAAAAGCTAGAAATCCACAGGCTACCGCCATGATATCCAGTCAGTGACTGCCCTCCACTCTAGACTGATATTTGCCATCTACTGAAGTCAAACACATCTTTCAATGATGGTACATAACTTTCATCACCCCAATACAAGAAATTTCAATTTCCTTATTGTTTAACTGTTATTAAAAGAAGGTAAGGCCTTTTTTCAAAGCATTCTCCCACCTCTCTCAACTTTCCTTTGGGTAAACCTAAACTTTTACAAGCTCTCAGCCTTCTTGAATAGAACAGAAATGGAAATAGCATAGCAGCTACTGAGTTTTAATGCCCAGTATAGTTTTGAGGTTGTGCTTCAAATCATCTGTAATATTCCACTTGAATGCAGAATGCCAGGACTGGCACCCTAACAGTGGTTCTGGCAGTGGCAGCAGTCCTACAAGCATACTGAGGGTCCTACTGAAAGGGTTATACACCCTTTGAGGACACCATGCTGGCTCCCATAGTTTTCAGACACAATGCAGAGAATCTGGAAGCTAGTGACCAGTATTTGTAGCAGAATCAATGATCCTTAGTAAATTCTTTGGTTGAAATAGGTACCCCTGCTGCTACAGTGAACCTCCAAGGACCCAGAGGTCCAGTATCACGAAGCAATGCTAGGGTTTGGCCATGTTAGGCTTAGGTGGTATTATTAGGGAATAACATCAAGGATTGGTCACAGTTAGCAAGGAACAGAAGACCAAGCTAGATAACATGGCAGTTTGGTCATAATCTCTTTTAGTGTTTGTCCTCTTGAATGCTTTTCCAGGACAGAAGCTGACTACCAATGTCACGGTCTTAGCAGTAGGAGGAGCTTTAGTTCTTTGCACATTAATATCCCTTATCTGTGGTTTCACTTTCCATAGTTTCAATTGCTTACAGTCAACCATAGTCAGAAAATATTAAATGGAATATTCTACAATTAAATAATTGATATGTTTAAAATTATGTGCCATTTTGAGTAGTGTGATGAAATTCTGCTCCATCCCACATAGATTATGAAAGTCATTCATCTGTCCAGTGTATCCATGCTATATATAGGCTATCCTCCCTTTAGTTGCTTAGTCCCCTCAGTTATCAGATCAACTGTTGTGGTATAAAAAGGGTTTGATACTATGCAAGGTTTCATTTCAGGTAGCCACTAGATGGTGCATTTTGGCACACAGTCCCTGCAGACAAAGAGGGCTACTACATGTCTAAAATCTTTGCTGTAGCATAATTTGCTCTGGGGTCTGGACCTAGCTGCAAATACCAGCTACCATAGTTTTGGTTCCTTGAGCCTGGCCATGGGCTGAGAAAGCAGCTGTTAGAACAGTGCCTTCTTAGTTCACCTTCATTCATCCATCCCATGGTTTGGAGACAGTAGAAAAATGGGTGGTTTATCAGTTTTAGGAGATTACTCTGATTTCAAAAAGTAGCAGTAAGAAAATAACTGAATCCTGCTCAGAAATGTTGAGGTCATGATCATCCACACCTCAACAGAACCACAAAGTCAGGATACAGTAGGGAGGCTATGAGTTCAAGGGAGAATTCCTTTCTTAGACACTGGTAGCTATGTTGGGAAAAATTAAATGCCTTGGCATTTGCTTATTTAGCCAGGGTAGATTCAGCCTTCTCTGCGAAAAAGTGTTTTCCTTCCATGCTAACTTTTTCTTCTACCACTTCTTTTTTATTGCCTCATTAATTAAAAAAAAGAAA